AATGTGTTAAGACAAATGGACGAGAGCGGTAGATAGATTTGGGGGTGTGGCAGTGCGGTGAAGGATTGTTTTAGACTTATATCCGTCTGACACTTCCCTTTGGAACAATTTAAATCAGCCAGTCACTCTTCTTTACCTCTGATAAGTATAATGTGCTGCAGTTTGTTTATTTATTTGTTTATTTATTGGTACCTGTCTTCAAAAACACATACGAGTAAACATTAGTTTTAGTTTTAAACATTAGTTCAGGTCTCCTCCTGCTAATCTGGCTCATAGCTGCCTTGTTTGCTGCACAGGATTTGGAAAACATGACGACATGTAGGAGCTGGGTAGGCACATACTTGGCGTGTTCCTGAGACCGGGTGGAGGTCCGGTGTGTGGCACTACACGAAGGAAAGCCAAACAGTGAGAGTGGTACTGGGAAACAATGAAGTAATGGAGAGAGGGCGAGAGCCTGACACAAGGAGGGAAAGTGATAGAATGTATAGAGGAGGAAGAGGAGGGGAGAGGGGAGGAAACACAGCTCTGGTTTCTTTCCTCCCCGGCGCCATAATATTTGGAGGGTTCTGTAATAAACTGTGACATCTTGATGTAAATGTGTGTCAGTGCTGCTCCTAAAAGGATTGAACCTGTTCCCAGATGATGGATTCTTTACGTTTGGTCTAAACACCTGCTGCCTCGTAACTCTTTCCCAGGAAAAGTCCTCGGCTGCACAGGAAGTCATATGCCTCATATGTTTCCAGCTGCAGTAGCATGTTGGGGTTTAGAAAAAGAAGTGGTCAGTTAGCATTAGCAACAAAATAGCTCAACATATAAGAACAGACATCATGAGAAAAACAAAATGAAGAGGTCAAAACTCGGCCCGTACTTATGAGAGCTGAGAAGAGCAGCGAGTTACGGTAACAGGGAACGCTCGAGACACACACACTCAGCTCTCAGAGTTCACACATACACACCCACACACACACACAGCTGCAGTTTCTTTGCTTTCTGTAGAAATGTGTGAAACAATAGGTGTCCAGAGATCTCGGCGTCCAGGGCTTAGAGAAACAAAGATGTATGGGTTGAGAGACGTGTGACCTCACATGTGCTTTTATTAGTGCTTGAAAAATATTAATCCTTGTATCAATAGCACATCGATTCAATGCACTACAAAGCTATTTGCTCCCCTCTTTCCCTTTAAGTCATAAACTTTAATATTTCAGCCCTGGTTGGTTTGGAAACACCTGTGGTAACTGTGGTAACACAAGGTGTGGTGTTGCTTGACAATAAAAGCTGACCAGTGTTTGCCAGTCGAATGCTTTTAATGTGAAGCAGCAGCAGAACGAAAAGTCTATTAGAAATATTAATGCAGCTCTGGTACAGCTGTAGGAGAGTGATCAATCAGGGTTTCCCTTTGTAGCACACGGCCACATCATCATCATCATCATCGTCATCCGCCACATGTAGATTTTCTAGTTTTGAAGCTGCATCTCTCTCCATCTCTCTCACAGCAGAGTGTAATCTGGGCACAGATGGAGCAGCAGAATGCCGAGTAAAGTCAAAGTGAAACCTACTCGTTCATCATTTCATATAGTTTTAGTGTTGGCTATAGTTTTACGAAACTACTTTCGGTCAAGCATTTGGTTTCACTAAAGTAACAGCAGCAGAAAGTTGCTTTCTCTTGCCTCTACACTTGCACCGATTTATCAGCAGTGCTTGGAATCGGGCCGGTTTTCACATGATCAGCCGTGACCTGCGACCGGCCGGTCACTCTAAAATATGCCGATTTAAATCGCCGGTCAAATTCCCGGCGCGCCACATGATTGAAATTGTGTAACATCAGCAGCGCACACACACGCACATGTGCAACTCACAGCTTGGGTGATGTGAGGAAGTGAAACATGGGCGGCTTCTCACCTTAATCATTCACGGACACACATCAAAAGAGAGAAGGAGGAAGTTGTTAATTGTCCGTGAGCTCTCACTGCTGCACTGTGCTGCTTGAAACTAACGAGGCGCATGTCCGCACGCTTACTGGCGGGAGCGTCCTGAAGACCTGTGTGGATATTCCACAGGAGATATTTTTACTTTTTTGTCTATTCAAGAAATTACCCACAAATGCTATACACCAAGAATTACTGCCTCCGTCAAGGAGGTTATGTTTTCACCGGCGTTGGTCTGTTTGTTTGTTTGTCCGCAAAATAACTCAAAAAGTTAACAGATTTTGTTGAAATTTTCAGGAAAGGTGGATAATGGGACAAGGAACAGATGATAAAATTTTGGTGGTGATCGGTTGAAGCAAAGTGGATAAAATCATAAATAAAGTCTATGGTCCGACAGCCTCAGCAGCTATTCTGCGTGAGGACTGGGCGCCTGTGAGTGGGGGGAAGGGGCCCACGGCAGCACACACACACACACACACACACACAGGTGAGCACACTAGAGCATGGTTCGGGCCACATTTACCTGACCAAAAACGCAGCTCATACAGCAGCGCAGCACAGCACTGAACAATTGGAGCGGAGCCTGTGTTGCGTTCAGGCGTTGTCACGTAAATGACAAATTCCAGCACTTGCTGCTCCTTCCACCCCCACACGTTGTGACAAAGTGCCGCCCTGGGCAAACGCCTATTCGGACCATATCAGGATTAGGGGTGTAACGATACATCGATCCACATCGATACAACGATTCATTGATTAACAATCCAATTATATCGATGCAAAATGAAAACATCAATCCATATCGTCATCTTAAAGATACACATTTATTTTGAAATTCACATAGTACGTCTGTGTCACCATTTCTGGGCAAGCGCGCCTCCGCTCAAACAACAAACAGAGCTCAGAAATAAAATGGTCAAATCATACTCTAGTTGTTTTTGTGAGTTGATTGTGTTAGATGGGCATATGATAAAGCGTCATATCGATTGCAGGCTCCTGAATCGAATCGAATCAAAATTGGATCGTGACAGACTTTATGATATCGGCAAACATCGTATCGTCATCCAAACAAATCGATATAATATCGTATCGTGATGAAGCTGGAGATTTACACGCCTAATCAGGATCCGCTACTGTCGGAGCTACTGATATCCAATCAAGGGGTGTGTCGGTCGGTAAAAGACCTCCGCTGAAGGCTGCACTCGTGTATCCTCACTTCCCTCTCCTCTGAAAGCCTCCTCTCTCCTCAGCTCCTCTGAGTGCATTTAACCAATTGAGATGTCGTACAAGATGGCGCTTCTCGATCCATTTCCGGGTCAAGTGACAGAGGATAGAGGAGTCGAGGAGGGATATTGGGATGAGTCACTCACTCTACCTACATACTTCGTAAATACATGTACTGCTGTATTTCAATAAACCAAGCCAGAAATTAGCACTGTTTTATTTTATGCCGCTCACGATTAGGGGTGGGCGATATATTTCGTTAACGATAATATCGTCATTGTTGTTTAAGGATGTGCAAATTTATGTTATCGAGTATGCAAATGACGTCACAAAAACAACTGAAAACACGTTGAAACCAGGCTGAACCCCCACACATTCACTGAACAAGAGTTACGTAACTTGCGTGCAGCATCACGCCGCAGTAACGTTACGCCCAGGTGGTCACATGATCTCTCACTGGCACCTTCGCGGCAGGTTAGCCTGCTGCTAAACAAACATTAGCGAGACAACAACACCGCCCACGGATGCTCCAGCAGCTTCGGAAGACGTGGGTCAACTGTAGTGACAGGTCCCAGCCATAGACTGTATAAAGGTCCCAGCCTGTCAGGCTAAAGTTCGCAGTACCGGAAGACTATCTACGGAGCTACCTAGCCTAGCCACAGTTAGCGAAACAAAGCGGCGAAATGGCCGGGTTTCAAGTCTCCCCGCTGGTAAAGTTCACCTTGAAGGCTGAAGACTGGCCTAAATGGATTAAACGCTTCGACAGATTCCGCGTTGCTTCTGGATTGGAGACGCAAGCAGAAGAGAATGGCAGGAATGTGATCTTTGAGACAGTAAAGTTTAATCAGCGGCTTCAAGAAACGGGCGAGACGGCCGACAGTTTGATTACAGCGCTGCACTGCCTGGCGGAGCACTGCTGTTACAGGGCTCTACGTGATGAGATGGTGAGGGACAGACTTGTGCTGAGTCTGCGGGACAAACGCCTATCTGAACGGTTGCAAATGGACCCGGAATTGACGCTACAAAAGGCCGTCACCAGAGTCAAACGGAGAGAGCAGGTAAAAAAAGCAGCAAGAAATGTTAAGAACATTTTTCCATTAATATCATCCATGAGAAACAATTAATGAGCTATAACTTGTGCCAAGCTAGCGTGTTAGCTATGTAACTTGTATGCTGCTGGTGCTCTGTTGTTGTCATCCAAAAGCCAGAACCACTTGTACAGTTAATTATCACAGTGAGCATTTTTTGAACATGTTTCACTGTCAGAACAGAAGACAAAAACTCCTCATTTTTAGTCAGCTGTTGCAGCAGAATGACAGTCTCTGGGATGTTTGATCATCAGGAGCCAGCTGGTGTGAATCTCCACCTGTTTTTAATGTCACACAGTGTGCTGCCGGTGCTTAGCAACGGTTGCTAAGCTGCAGTCATTTGTTTAGGGGGAGGAGTTAAGCAGATTTGCTTGGTGATGTCATCAGCTTTTAGAATGTCTTTCTGAAATATGCCTTTGTGACATCACGTTACACTCGACTGTGACTTGGTAAATAGGGGTGCAGATCTGAATTTTATAAGACGCGCATCGCATTGCACGTGCTGTTCTAGACCGTCATTGTCGTTTTAGATAAAATGGCAGAGACATCCCAGTTTGGAGTGGACCAATTTCGTCCTTTTGTGGATAGATTTTTGCAGCAGCTGTCAGGAACTCAGCTTCTAGTGATTAGGGATGGTAGACCAGATAATGCCATCACACTTAGGCTGGCGGAGCTACTGTTAGATATGGTGGTATATCTTATAGACTCCCATTCTGCCAATTTGACAGCTAATACAAAGATATCTGAGGAACATGTTGCGTCCACGATGGGCAACGCAGTCCCAGAAGCTTTTGCTCAAGCTCTGGGAACAGACACTGCAGACCCTGACATCAGCTCACAGAGCTTGATTAAAATCATGTCCGAGGAGGTATCTAAAAGCGTCAACTCCGCCATCACGACGAGCAGAGATGCAGAGAGTCGGTTTATGTCTCACGTGACTCCCTCCCGTAGACTTAATGACATGGTTGAGTACGCTCGATCCATGATGCAGTCATTCATCAGGAAAACTACATCATTTGCTTGCCTGTGTCGAAAATCTTCACCTGGAGATCTAGAGGTTGTGGACGTAGAGGATGATGATCATGATGAGAGCTGCAGTTCATTACCTGTGCAGGTAGGAAGCTCTGAGACTGACTCAAAGCAATCGGCGGACAGCTCAGAAAGTAGAAAATCTCAGGCCCAGAAAATAGTGTCTAAGGAGCTGGGAGATATCCTAGACATTTTACTGGACGATGCCTCTGACGCTGAGCGAGATGTCTTGCTGCGTGACACCTACCAGGAGAGTGATAGTGTCGTGAGTGACATCAGCGAGTCTGCTGGTGCAGCAGTCAGGGCAGATAACCCCAAGATAACTCTTCTGTTGGCTAAACAGTATGCCAAACAGTTGATACATCGAGCTGCGAGAAATCTGAAGAAAATTTTCTCGCCAAACAGCAAAGTGAAAAGCAGAGAATCACTGCAATCCTTTGCTGACTCTGTATGTGAACTGCTCCAACCAGAGGGTGGTGAGAAACACCCAGCTGATGAAGAGAGGCAGTTAGAAAAACTGCAACATATCGCAGAGGGTAGAGACCTGGTCTTTACAGAGGCACTGAGGAGCCTCCTTTCTGAATACACCATTGACGGGATGACTCCAGAGTCATTTTGTCAGCTTGGGCCATTCAGAAATACACAGGCCATCAGGAGGGCTACTTGCAGCACAGTGTGGCGTTTCCAGGTACTGCTGAGGTGGTGGCTGACATATCAGGCTGGCATCCATTGTGACAATGTCATGACGGCTTTAAATGCCACTGAGCCAACCTCACCAGCACCCGCAGTCACAGTACCTGAGACAGGTGCTGAACCGGTGCTCCACTTACCACCAGACCAGGATTCAGAGATAAACAGACTCTCTGTCAGATTACTTGTTAACAAGCTTGTCACCAGAGTCTGTAAAAAGGCTAAGATCCACGTCAGATCTGAAGACCTCTATGTCATCGTTGACCACCTTTCCAGTAGGATATGGGCAGAGGTTGAGGAAGCTGATTTTGAAGTCTCCCCAGCAACTTTTGAAAGACTCGACAAGGCTGTTTTCAAGGATTTGTGTAAATCCTGGGGCTGTGCTGAGCTTGTTCTTCTGAGAATGAACCGAGGAGAACAAGAAATCAATCACGTAGCCAGCACCTTCAAACATCATCTGATGAAGCCACCGAAGCAACGAAGTGCCATCTGCAGACTCTTTTCCAGTCTGGGCCAAGCTATCTCTAGGCCCTTCACTTCGACCTGGGCCAGAGTCACTCCCATTTAGGTGACAGGATTCATGCTGGAGGAAAAAATTGGCGTGAGGCCTTTTTCCTCCAGCATGAATGCAATGGGTGCTGTGCACCAGCATGAGTATTTCCTGTCCTATACTATGGGATTAAGTGATTAATCAGCTGTGTGCTGGGTGTACCGCACACCTGATTAATCACTTAATCCAATAGTATAGGACAGGAAATACTCATGCCTACTTCCTTTCAGGAAGTAGTGGAGCTGGTGCAGAGCTCTTAGGACCACCTTGGTAGTCAGCAGCACAATCTCACAGTTGAGGGTTCGATTCCCAGTCCTGAGCCTTTGTGAGTTTGTGTGTAGTCTACCTACGTGGTACGGGTTTTCTCCGGGTGCTCCGGTTCGCCCGTTTTTTTTTTTTTTTTTTTTTCAAGCCATGCAGCAAAAGCTAATTGGTTTCATGTTATACAATTCGATCACAACTACACGAATTAAAAATAACAAAATTGATCTTATGTCTCTTGTCATTATCTGACATTGCTGTAAATATTCAAGTCAGGCTGAACTTCTGTTGATTCAGTTTCACTCAGGTTAAAGGTTTTGTGTAGAAAATACAGAGAAAAGACTGATCTTTTGTTTCTTTTTAATGTGAAAAGCAGTTTTTTAGCATGAAAGTTTGCTTTTGATACTTGAGCTATGTTTTTCTAATATCACCCTTTTGTAGCAAGGTTCTGTTTCAAAAGAAAAACAATAGACTATTAGGGCTGTACCCAAATATTCGGATATTCGAATATTCGTTTCTATGGTAGGTATTCGTTATGAAAATTTGGTATTAGATATTCGTTTTTTATTTACTTATTAATTAATTTATTTTTATTAATATTATTGTCATTTTATTTATTTTTTACATATTTTTTTGGTGCTAAATGTAGTTTTTATGTTGTTGGTAAATGTAGGTTATCAATAAAAATCAAAACTTTTAAATTGCATTGTTAAAAATGTGAAAATATAGTATCGCCTACCAACTGAGCTTGTGCGCACGGCACGCTTGAGCGCATCCGTCTGAGGCTGTGGATCAATGCCAAGTTTTACCACTTTATCACTGTTCCCTCTAACTTGTAGCTGTTTTTTCGTTATTATTATGGAATTCAGCTATTCATGTCTGCACACATGTGAATGTGCGCATCTGAAACATATCTAGCCCACAACAGACAAATATGAAATATTTCCCATGTAGCTCCTTTTTCTGATTCCGTATACGAGGAAATGTTAAAAGACAGAGCTCAATAATAGTCCACCTTGATGCAGGCAAAGAAAAACATAAATAAGCAAATTGAAATAGTCAGATGCATGTGTCATCTGGTAAGGTTAGTTTAGGTGAACAGGGGAGCTGATGAACTTTCTTGACCTGGGAAAATAATGTGCCAAATAATAATAATGAACACTAATATAACAATTGATTACATTTGAATAGATTGCGAAGTATTTAATTTGAGGATTTGTAACACATTTAGAAGAGAGAACAATTTAAAAAGCCTAAAATGAGCTGATTTAAAACTAGAAAAGCACTCAGAGAGTGCAGACCTCCTCCAAGTAGGTGATATTCCCTCCCCCACTGCATCAGATTTTGCAGCCTGCATCACAATTAAGGTTATTTGCATCACTATCATTATTAGGTTATATATGCTTTCACTATGGAGACACTGTGGTGTGTTTATTTTGTTTTTATTTTGTACTAGGGCTGGGCGATATGGCTGAAAAATGTATCACAATATAAGTGTTTCATATCAGTCGATATCGATAATTATTGAATTTTAGGACCAGGAGACAAAAATGTTAAATTTAAACACTTTTATTTTAAATGTAACCTTTCCTCAGTAATGAACAAATGAACATGGGGAAAAAGAGGTCAACATAACCATGAAAAACAGTCAAATAAATAAATGTACTGGTTAATGTGCAAATGTAAACATTAAATAAATACTTAAACTTCTTTAAAAAAAGAAATGTGCAAAGTACTTTGAAAAAAAAGAAATTAACAGAGATTAACATAATTGACCTGTAACAAACAGTCAGAACCAGCATAAAAATATAAAAAATAACTCAAAAACAACTCAAGCATGGTTTCACTCCAGTTTTTGGCCAGGTAAACTGTTTCACCTTCTCAGGCTTTAAGGCCATACAAGTACATGTAACAATATACACAAATAAATTCTAACAAATTATCTTGTGCACAGTGCAAAGTATTTTGTAAACATAGAAATTAGAATAAACTTGAGGTAGTCACTGTCTGAACATCTGACATGACACAAACCTGTTAACCAGTCCAGTTATTATGGCAATATCAAACCAGCATGTACATGAAAAAAATAACTCAAGCAAGCACCGTTCAACCTTGGCTTCACTGCAGATTTTGAGCAAG